ATTTATCGCCTGGAGAAAGACTTCCTGACCTTCAGTATGCGGATGGTGTTGTCTTACTATGCGATGATACCTGAACCATGCAATCTTCACTCAATCAGTTGGCAATTAGTGTCCGTAGGTATGGTATATATTTTACACCTTCCAAATGCACAGTACTCCTATAAGACTGGCGGGACCCTGAACCTCCACTCACCCTGGGTAGTGAGCGGATAGAAGTAGTCGAGAAGTTCGTGTATCTGGGTAGCTGCATAAGTGCTGGTAGTGGGGTCAGTGATGAGATCAATGCACGTATAACGAAAGCCAGAGCGGCTTATGCCAATCTGGGCCATCTTTGGCGCCTTCGTGATGTTAGTATGGCTGTAAAAGATCGGACCTACAACGCGTCGGTGAGAGCAGTTCTGCTCTATGCTTGCGAAACCTGGCCTCTCTGAGTTGAGGATGTTAGACGACTCTCTGTGTTTGATCATTGTTGCCCCCGAAAGGTTACTGACATCCAGTGGCAACACCATGTTAGTAATGCAGAGGTTCGGCATCGTGTGTTCGGGCGAAGCGACGATAATTCAATTGGTGTCACTATCTTGAAACACCGACTTCGGTGACTTGGACATGTCCTACGAATGTCGTCTCAGAGAATTCCATGTCGTGCACTATTTGACGACGCTGGGACTGGTTGGAATAAAGTGGAAAGGTGGCCAGTCTACGACATGGTGTCGTGACAAGAAAGAAGGATGTACAATACTGGCTTCTGTTGGTCTTTCGCGACTCCCTGGTTGGGGTCCAAGAGATGATACAACGCAGTGGTTAGAGACGTTATCACATATGGCTCAGAATAGAAGCCAGTGGCGATCCTGCTGTAACCTTCTTTTACTTTCTTCATAATAGTGAACGTATCATCTCTAACTTAAATGTTTCTTTCTGGCTGTATTTTTGCTGGCCATTCTGTTACTACTTTTATGATTATTATTTTACTGGCGTACACTAATTTATGTTTATTGTTCTTATTCTTTTATTGTTCGCAGTTTACATTCTCTATTTCTTCACAACCTCATTGTCATTTTGTTGTGCATATGTATCTAGTGCCCCCTTGTACTGATTTTTACGTGTTCAAATAAATAAATATCAAGATATGATTCTTAACTATCATTCACCAGTGAAATTCTGAATAAATTTTAGAATTATAAAATACAACTGCTGTTTTTTACAATTTTACTTTACATTTTACTGGTCGTCCAGACTGTTATTATCCCTTTATTGGGTAGTTTTGAACTTTTTATTTGATTGAAGCTTAGTGTTATGCAACCTCTGTAGAGAAGTCAAAATTCCCATGATTAGCTGTAAGATTTTGAGGTTTTTCCATATGTACTTCAATTCAACAGTCAATAAAAAGGAGACCAGCCTGGCTGTTTGCTTGCTTTCGGCTACGTGAAACCACAGCCTTTGTCCCCACACATTCTGTAATCGCAAATCGAACATTATAAAGTTTGCTTCCGTACGCTTCATTGTCAATTTCTATACGAGTTTCCCAGCTTGGTTAGTAGACCACTAATATTTTTAGGTATTTCAAGTTGAAAATTTTGAAATTCCCCAAATAGGAACACTTTCGTATCATTTTTGAGTAGTTTGTCTTAACATCACCCAATGAATAAATTCTTAAGGAGTTTATTTCATTATTTTTATTCCAATTGGTTCATAGTTAACAAGCCAATCATAAATACAGGTTTCCCTTTTTCGATGTTTTTTATCGCGTATTCTGATTGGTTTTTTGTAATAATTTTAATATTTAATGGGACGCGCTGCTTCGTTATCCAGTCTATTTATACCTTGAAAGATTGTCTCCAATTCATTTGCACACTGAATTATCCATTCAAATAACTAACATCCAATTTTTCAGCTCATTTTCATAAGTTGGATACACTTTCACATTTAGTAGCCGAACAAGATCATGTTTCATCATTACGTGTTGGTATCAGTCTGTTTTATAGCCTTCACGTCTGTTCAGCATATCGATGCTACCGATGATAATTTCGTTTCCGCAAAGGAACAACCTGCTAAATTTGCTCCCATCAGACGTCATATAATGAAACGTAATTATTTATGGGATTCACGTTTGGGTAAGCGTTCAATGAATCGTGAAGCATTTCCATGGTATAATCATGATCTATATAACTATTACAATGATGATAATTTCCGAGGTTATTATACTGGTTATGATGACTAATAATATAAAACAGTTTCGAAATTGAAGAAAAAACACGAGAGAACTAAAGCATTAAAATTTTTCAGTTCTTATTATAATGTAATGTATTCCACTTACTCTTTATATTTAAAGATGTAATAAATTAACAAAACTACTGGTTTGAATGCATAAAGTCTATGGAATATTAGAATTTTGTGTTTCACTGAATATAACTTAAATGAGCGATATTAAACCGTCTTTTTGATTATCGGAGCGAAGTTTGAGTGCGTGGCACTGAGTAAGGGTAGCTTATGATTATATTCAAGGAATATTTTTACGAAACAACATTTATATACATACTTATTTATCATTTTATAAGCTGTACTAAGTCTGTGAATGATCGATAAAACATTCCAGTTTTTTTCAATCGCGAAATGTTAAGTAAGTTTTAACTGACTGTTCACTTATAGTCTAGTTTCACAACTCTATGCAACCGACTAATTGCCCAAAATATACATTTAGTTTTGTAACGTATTTTAAGAATTCTACCTTACGAATATCGAACCTCTTTACCATTTTCGACCTGCAGAACAAAATGTCTTGTTTATTTGATCTTCGGGGTCTGTATCGATATAACATTCCGTTTCATCTTAAGTGTTGTTAGATTTATTAGTACTGTCCAGAAAATTAGGATTGCGACCCATTAATTTGTGAATGATCTATTAAAAATTTTTAGCATTGAATCATCAGACGACATTTAGTTTGGCGGAGCGAAATTCCTCCTGTATATTAAACGATCCCTCTTCAATTTTAGAAATATTGTGTTATATTGATGGTTAAAACGTCATTTTTAATATTTAGAGAGCACTTAATGCTTTGAAATTGTAGTCTTTTCAGTGAAGCTTGTCAAAAGTTATTGAATAGCTGGATAGATTCTTGCCGAGGTAATTAGAAAAGACTGCACGATAGTGTAGCAAGTATGTGATTGATTTCAATTCTCACCCATAAATTTGTTTGGTTTTACAGAAATAGTTATATTAAAGTGCTATAAAATAAAAGATGTAGGTTTGCCTAATACTGTCACACTATAACATTCAAAATCACCTAATTAATACGATTATTTTTTACTGATTAATCCGGATGCTGATTACGATTTTGCTGGTAAAATAACCTTCAAACTGTTATCGGTAAGCTCATCTGTTTAACATACGTTTATAATATAAACTAAGATATTGCGTTAAAGTAAATTATGTAATTATAGGATGCTAAATGATAATGAAATGGTAGGTACACATTATCATTAGATGTCATCATTCAAATGAATTGAAGATATTTAAGTAAGCAATATCTTCTCAAAATTATTGAGCCTTCGAATGTTGTAAAGTCACCTGTTGAAAAAAGGTTTTACAATAACTAGAGTAGTTACGTGTCGGAGTGAGAAAATTGAATTAGTTTTGTGTTAATTTCGCTGTAGTTATATGCAACGGCTAAGTTATTTCATAAAATGTTGATTAGATTCATATACTAGGTGTACATTTTTTGGAATTCTAATTAGTAATCTAAGTGTTTAATGATACTAATTCATATATTTTTATCATTTAATACCACCATTGGTACAGACTAAGTTGATGAAAAGAGATAAGCGTAAATTTAGACACAGGATTATTAGTCATGCACTTAAACCAAGAACCTAGCAGCTTCATGAGGTCTGGTCAAATCGATAAAAGGATTATGACTTTTTCAGTTCCAAATCTATTAAGCCCCTTTTTATGTGTAAAACTGGATTACTGAAACTATCTAACTTAGAATCAACACTGTTTATTAAGATAATTCAGTTAAATATAGTTGTGAAATGTTTATGACAAATGTGAAGAGGTCAAAAAAATGTTTTCGTAGCCCTGTTCATATAGTTGTTTTCAAGTTGTTAATAAATGAACGTAATGCAGATTTCAGACTAGGGAAGACTTTATTTCAAGTCTTCTGGATATTAATTGGTTATCATCAAATGAGTGATCCATGCTACAAAGTAAAAATGCACATTTTGCAAATGATGTTTAGTATGGCAAATTTATTTTACAAACTTTTATCAATGTTTTCATTATTTATATGGAAATTAATCTCACGTTACGTTGAAAACTGAAAGTCTATGAAACTTAAAAAAATTGCTCATGTTTACTGAATAAAGTTGTAAGTAGCTAGAGGACTGCACTTTTCATTAAGGCCTGAAACATATTTTGTCTTCAGATTCAACTGTTATATTGATATAGTAACTATCTTCCTGGGTTATAATTTAAGGATTGAGAAAGACGCATAAGTCTACAGATAGTATATTGTATTCAAAGTGATTGTTATCAACTAAGAAAATTCTCGTTTGATTTTTAACTAGAAAGATAAAATATGTCAATTAGTGTTAATTTATGTAGGTGATGGTTGACGCATTCATTATTGAATAGTTCCGTTTTGTCGAGTTGGAATAATAAACTGATTTTATCTAACTGGTTAGAGTTTATAAAATAAATATATCTGAGATTTTAGAGATGGTTTTTGCTTTGGAGCCCGAACAGCTGAATTCAAGACGTTTTGCAATTTTACACATGTGGAAAGGAAACCAAATATCCTCTTATTTTCGATGATACTAAATTCATCTTACATCTATTTTTTTTCCTCTATTTAAATAAAAAGCATTCTCGATCACCATGTTATTTTACTAAAAAAAGTTGTGGAGGGTGTTGATAAACTGTTCTCACTCAGGGAAATAAAAATTATTATTGAGAGTTATTCATCTTAATAGTAATTCCGTTGCCATTTCGTGAATTGGTTGATCGTAGACATTAACACCGTTGGATGCCGGATCAGTGGTCTAGAGGTTAAGCGTTCACGTGTAAGACCAATAGGCCCTGGGTTCGAATCTCGCGGGAGGGATCGAGGGTACGTACCACTGAGGAGTCCCGCAGTAAGACGAAACGGCCGTCCAGTGATTCCAGGTTGTCTATGGTGGTCTAGCTTTAAATGACTCATGAATTCGAATACTGAAAAAAGAAACATATTAATATTAATAAAATTATTATTTGTGTTCAGAAATATAAAAAAACGTTTCATTGTTTTTTCTTTGTTGTATTTACTGGGTATATGTATATTTTTTTTATATATCAGATTTACGAGGCAAATGAAATGTATCATCTTATAGTAAGTGTATATTCACAGACGAACTGATGTGTTTTATCGATTTACTACTAAGTATATCTTTCATAATGATGACGGTATTAATAAATTTTTCTAACAGTGTAAAAATATTTGGAGAATTTAGTGGTCCTATATCTGACTCCATGTGGATCGTTTCTGATTGCTATTGAAATATACATCATGACTATTGTCGTATTTGATTTGTTTAATTTTGTTATGAATTAATGCAAGTTAAGTCGATAATTATATACGAGGATTGACGATATGTATATTTCAATAACGATCATAATACGATCCACCTGAAGCCAGATACAGGGGGCACGAGTGGTGACCCCGATATGGGGCTCGAACCTATGCCTCTAGTGAGGGCCACAAAAAGAACATCATTTGTATCATATAATTAAAAAGTAAGTATACAGCAATTGCAGAGGCTTAAGTGTAATCTTTTCAGATTATGGGTTTTACATTTAGGTATTTAAAACTGGAGAACAGGTTAGTTTAATTTGTTTTTTAAAAGGTTTAACGTCATTTGTAAAGTAGTCTGCAAATGACTGCATAAATTCTGGGCGTTACTGTAGTAAGACCTTTCAATGATTAAATATCAAGTTGTATTTTGATTTCACGCATCTGTAACATTTTCAGTTTTTTTTCAGAATTGAACGTAATAAAGTAAGGTATACAGTGAGGATTATTAAAATGTTACATTTTTGATATATATTAATTCAGATCGGAACGTAGTAACAATGAAATAAGGACTGAACATCAAGTTCAGTAATCCGTAAAATTTCATTTTCTTGAGAATAATGAAACTTTTATTACTGAATTTGTACCTATCTTTATAGCTAATTTGGAAAGGCATTGTTGTCAATATCATTACAGAATAATACGCAAAAAAGCTAGTTGGTGTTCCATTCAACTGTTGCAAATCAAATAAAAGATTGATCTTATCTTACCAAAAGAAGACAATTTCCTATATTTTTGTGAATTAATGTTGGGACAAAATGACATTGGAGTAATTGTCCCAAGTAAAACTGGATAATCAAATACTTTATACTCAAGAGTGTTTTTATAAGGTTGGTGTGTTTATTTATATAAAAAAGCATAATCAATCATGTGGAGAGACTTAGCTGACAAGAATAACAAATCGTCTGAAAGTGATGGTGTACTTTTGAGCATAAAATTAGTATTTCACGGTTGTTTTTATGTAAAATAAATAATTAAGCAAATCTTCGATAGGTTTTTAGCAAACGAAATAATTTTTGAGTCTAAATGATTTTGAGTGTCTAAGTCCTCGAAGTTATATCCACTTTTGATTGACTGATTGACATGAGCTTGGGTTATTTTAAATCAATAAATGTCATTCTTTCAACGTACCATAAGCATTAGAAACAAAACTTAAAAGTCTAGCTTAATAATTTAAATATTACTATCATTAGTAGTAAGCTTTGCAGCTTATCACTATTCTGTTTTTGAAAAAACTTCTTCATCGACTGCCAACAAATTTCTTTGTCAATTAATATATATGTATATATATATATATATATATATATTCGAGTTCAGGAATGGACATCAATTCTGAGATTCAGGTACATCAAGCTAACTAGTCTCAAGTAAGATGAAATGTGCGTCCTGGATCCTACTACTAGCCACCATCCATCTTTGCTTATAATGCTTATGACTTAAGGCAATATCGAGACAATCCACACAAGATACACATATATCAATAAGAGACTGATCATTTGCAATCCTAAGCATCAATGAGAAGATTAAAATAAACAATACAAAAATGAATATATTTAAGACAGTTTATGAAAAATAGCTTCATTCGTGGGTATATCTGGTCGAGCATCTTTCATTGAGTAGCTTATTCAAAGTTGTTTCCGTCATATGTTCAAGGTCCTTATTACGCTTCTTGATGAAGATGCCTTATTTCGTCATATAATTACATTTATTAAATGTCGCGTACCACATAATATTCAGTAAGATTTATATATTTTATTGGGTTGTAAAATCGTTCGAGTGAAAGCAGTGCAACATCTGGACTTTCAAATATGATCATAAAAATTCCAGGAGTGAACTTTGTTTCTCACTATGTAATCCATTCTGAATAGCTTGGCATCAAATAAGTATCGTTTGTGAATGGGATTTATTGGTTACTGGTTTATACCAAATATGAAATAGTTATGGAGCTAAACGAAGAATAAGTAATAAGTACTGATTAGTTCAGGTAAATAAACATGGATTTCCGATTATATTGTAAAATTTCCTATGGCAATATCCTGTCGGATTCATTTACTTTACAGAACTTTTGTCAGCTGAAATGGTGGAGATGCATGTCACATAAAATTCTCTATTTGTGTACAATGGAAAGTTTGTGTTTAAATCAGCGTGATTTATCTTCACACATCAATGTTTACACATTCTTGTTAATAAAAGAAGGGCTTAGTAATTAAAGGACTCCAGTTTCTTTTTGTAAGTTATTGGCTTCAAATCGTTTTCACTTACTTTAGCTTGGACTGATCAGTAGTGCTACTACTTCTATGTGTAAATCGCAACATGAGTTGAATATGGTCCTTGAGAACTATGTTAAGTGTGTCGTAAAATTATAGGATATTAATTATGATAATAATAGTTGAAAAGTTATGACCGAATATTTTAAAATAAATGTAACGTGGTAACGTAGCGTGGTAAATATTATCTGTACTACTAACCAAAGGGTTGAATCTAATAAAAGCAGTCTTGTGTAACTATTGATGTCATTTATACTCTCGGATTCGCTGTTACATGAGAAAACATAAAGTAAATCCAATGTTATTCTAGATTATTACTAAGCAGAAGGAATGTATACTGATTTTCCAAAGTACATAAGATTGTAGATTTCAGATTAATGATCGTTCCTAGAGTTTCACTATTGTAAAGCATAGCTTTATTTTTATAAGAGAACTTTATCAAGTATGCTTTACAGGAATCTAAAAATATGTGTTAGCAAGAATTTTAGAAGTCGATTCTTTTTCTTGAGATTTAACTGATAGATGTGAAGTTGTGAGCTGTAAACAAAGATTTTTTAAATTTTTCTATAAAATCAAAGATGATATTTTTATTGACCATAAGACCTCTGTGAGTCGCAATAATGTATTCTAGCAGGCTAGTTTCATTTTTGATCATTACTAAAATTACTATAAAAACAAACTTTTGCACTTATCATACCATGACTACTGAATTCCTGAGTAGAATAACACTAATAAACAAACTATGAATTCTTTAGAGAAAACCACAATTCAAAAGGTTTATTGAGTAACCGTGTAATCATTGATGCACAGCAAAACGACGTCTTTTCCAGTTAAATGATTTTATTAAAAAGATTATATGATTTACTTTATAAAAAAGGCATAATCTGAACAGATAAGATCTAGATAAATAATAGTACTAAATTATTATTTTGAAATCCCTTAGGAAAAGAAGTATAATCTACTATCATTTGTTTAAAATCAATTATTTGAATAGGCAAACAAATGAATCTAGTAATTTTATTGAATAGATGGATTATAACTGTCAATGGAATCCATCTATTCTATGAAAAGTTTTGAAAAATAGCTATAGGGAGGAACAGGATACACATACGCCAAACGAAGACCAAACAAAATTCAGTTAAGATTATCAGCATCGGGATAATTTGAAGTCTTAGTAATCATGGTATACTAGAGTTCATGGGGAAAAACTTGAGACTATTCATGTTATTTTGTGTTATTATCTGTAGTAAAATCTAGTTAACATCAGAATATTATAAAGTTTTTGCAAGGAAAGTTTGGGAATAGTAAGAATATTTTGATCATATCAAAATCAAAATTCAGTAGTCAATTTTTCACAGACAAGTCAATACATTTTAGGAGCAAGTGATTGATAAAGTCTCACAACTTTCAAGTCTAAATTATGAAAAGTTCTTTGTATTGAAAATGTCTAGAAACTATTCAAAATGAGATTGGTACATTGTTTCAGTTTTTGTTCTCATTTGCCATCATAAATGTTCACAGAATAGTCTACAAATTCACACTTGGTTTGAACATTAATAACAATATTATGTTATATAGTTTTCTACTACCAAGTTCTTCAGTTTCCTGGAAACTTTAGGATTTGGCAAGCGTAATTCAAGGATGTGAAACCTAATTCTTTTTTAACTTTTTCAAAAATGGCAAGATGTAGCTGTTTATGTATATTTCTATAATCTTAAGATAAATCTACAGGATTTTGTATATTAGTATAATGATTCATCAAACTATCTTCATGTATTTTGAATTGCATAAGAAAATACATCTGAGATAAGAACAAGTCCATATTTCTACATGATATATCGGAATAAAGCAGCTACTATAATCCTATAAATTTATGAGAACTTATTCTTAGACTTTTCACAAACTGCTTACACAACCTGAGACAACTTTAGTTTTGAGGTAGACAAAAGTTGTTTATATACTTTAGTTTATTAGTAAACGTGTAATTTCATGGTAGTTTTCATTAAGAACTGATTCTTTCTGAATAATCACTGAAACCTTTGATTCGTTTCAGTTTGAAAATTTTCAGGATTGATGTACTCACTAAAATGTTAGCTATCAAAATGCTTAAAATTGTGTCAAAAAGAAGCGTTTATCAACTTAATATTATAAAGATAATCTTATTATTGACGTTTATTGGTTTAGTATTGTTTATGTATGTTGTCTTTTTTTCTGATCTACTTTAAATACATGGGGATCTTGCAAGTTATGGTATCATTAGTAACATGTAAAGTGGTAAAATATCAAGCAATAAGTATCGGACTAAAAAATAATCGGGGAAAACTTTTGAATCAAAA